CCACCCAATAAACAAGTCTGTTCCCTGTGGCCAACTTTATTATTTGCGGGGCTACACTCGTGACACATGCCATATATTGACTGCTGGGCAACCCAGTGGTTCCGATCTTGGAGGCTCGCAGTGGTTCCGATCTGAAGAGACGTCCTGTACCTTGCCGTTGCAAAAGGTTCGAAGCTGAAGGATCATTAGCGTAGAGGAAGTGCTGACCGCCTCTAGGACAAGCTCTTTCCTCAGATCGGATTTCAAGAAATGGACATGATGACATTGGGACCCTTGCACCTTGTTGTGGGACAGTCGGGTAGAGCCCTCCCAATGTAGACAGGACTCTGAAAAAGGTCTGAACTTTGATCGAATCAACATCAGCCAGACCCAACATGGGTGTCCTAAACAACGGGACCCACAAACTGGTGGGTTCTCCCTTTGACTTCGACAGAAAAGAAGCAACAAAAAAGCGCCTCAAAAAAAAGTGACGCCCGGATGTATCAAGTCAGCAACTGCTGAGCGAACCATGATGGCACAAATATAAAGGAGAACATGCCCTTCGGCCGGTTTTCAGGCACTCAGATCCGTCTGAGTCTAGATATGATTCCAAGGCTACGAGCTCGCCAAACAAGCCTTCACCATGAGATCACAAACCAAATCGGTCCATGAGATCGCCATTTTAATTGCCCAAAACATCCCCATGGAGAGGTTTGCCCCCCGCCTGGCCAGCGACACCTAGACTCTAGTAGACTAAAATATCCAAAAACAACAATTGTCCAAGCGAGGATGCTTGGGTGTGTCTTCTTTAAGGGACCCCCAACACGGTCGTGTTCCTTTTGGTTTCCCTTTAAAACCAGAAAAGAAAAAACATGGGTACCCTCCAAAAATAACAACCCGCAAATCTCCACCATAGCTCCCCCCCAACCCCCCCCCCCCCCCCGCATCCCATTGGCACCTCGGCCGAAGGCATCTCTCGCAGGAGGTGCAGCGCGGCAGGCCACGCCTCGCCTAAAGGAGTAGAGCACCCCCCCTCCCAGAAAAAATGCACCACGGACATTTCGGGGTGTCCTTTTGCAACGCAAATCTGCGGGTTTCCCTACAAGTACCCTTGAAACAAAAAGCAAACACACACACACACATATTTGTTCTCCAAAAGGACATGGGAATATTGGCGCCCGTCGCCCTAGTTTTGGCGGGTGTGTCTCCCCCTTCTCGTCCTCCTGCAACCAAGAGTAGCCCAGCAGCAATGTGTTCAGTGGCAGAAAAGGGGAAAAGGTAACCAGGCTGCTGCCGGGGTCTTCCCTGAGCAAAAAGACGTGACATGGAGAATATGACAGTTTAACGATCTAGGGGGATCCAGCGGACGTGGGGCTGTTCACCCGGAGTTGGCGGCACCGCTAGACAGTCCAAGACCCAAACCATGATCAAAACTCCAACATTGTGGGTCATGGAATTGGTTCGCAATATTAGTACCCTTACATTCGTTGTCCAAAATAACTAGTAAGTTGAAAACCACCCCTACCAACCCCAAGCTCTTTTGACCATCGCATGGTAGAGTGACTCTCTGTCATAATCTTTGGAACGCCAAGCACTTCGAAGTTCTGGAGCCAAATGGTGATTTGCATCGCTAGCTTGAACATCGAACCCAGCGCCTTTGCAGAGGGGAAGGGCACGCGGCCTGCCCTTGTCTGTTGGTCAGAAGGAACACCAACTACAGGTACCACTGGACAACTAGACCAAATCATGACTAACATCCATCGATTGCCAATCACAGTAGCTTGGAGTAACTAGAATGTGTTGGACTCGCATGTGCTTTCCGGATCTGTCCTAGATTGGCGCCTGTTGTTTCCCGTCAAACCAAGCGAAGGGTATGGTGATACAGTGATGCAACATCTTTAGATATCTGTTGATTTCTTGCCCGTGCCTAGACAACCTAAACTGCAAGATGATGTCACAACACGTCCCAGCAATCTGGGCAAATGAACCGTTCCTGGAATTGAGGAATCCCCTGCGAGGGAGTCGGCTTTGCGAGCCGTTGTTCGCTTATACCGCGAATTTGGTGGTCGTCATAATTTGCCAAATAACTTTGGCACTCGCTTCAAATCGCAGGAGCTCAGCCACTCCCCATGCGCTCGAGGTGCTGGCACACGCAGATATGGCCACGTTGAAGCAGACGGTGTCCCTGGCCCTGCACGCGGCAGGTTTCGGCGTGTTGGGCGCATGTTTTTTCAGGTGCACACATCAGACCTCGAGCGTACCGGTTTCCCGTCATAGGAGTTCCTGGGTCACAAAGTATGCTGGACAGTTCTTGGACATGTCCATAGTTAAAAACCGCTGGTACACGAGTAGAACCAAACTAAAGCATGGAAATGGCGGCTTGGAGAGCTTGGGGCTTGGGGATTTAAACCCGTTTTTAGAGTCTTAAGCCATCTTAAGCCCAAACCTTCAGCGGCCCTTGCCTTGTAGTTGGCTTTAACGAGAAACTCCCTGCAACAAAAGGGTAAGGGTCGAGATTTAATTTGGGAATTGTTGTTTGTTTTACTTTGTTGGTGGTTTTTGGTTTTTTGTCCTGGCTACTAAAATACTGTAATTTACGGCATTTTCTCGCGAAATCTACGTATTTTACACTAGTCCGTCAACATCATTAGCATCGTTTTCAACATCCCCCGCATGTCCAGCCAACATCCCCAGCATCACCAGCAAATCGAACGTTTTAGGTGTTTTACAGAAATTGGTTTGCACGTATGTGAACCCTCACTTTTACCATCGTGAGGGGGACCCGCCCTTCTTTTTAACATGCATACATAAATGACTACCTACCTTGCCGCAGAGGAACTTATGATGCTGAAGATGCAGGAAGCCAAGGCCCAGCGGGGGGGGTTGGGGGGGCGGCAGCCCCATGGTGATGAAAAAAGTGATGACTCAATTAAGGGCAAAAAACCTAGAAAGCAGCGGGGGGGGGGTTCGGGGGGGGAAGCAGCCCCCCCATGATGATTGAAAAAGTGATGATTCAAACTAAAGGCGCGGGGGGGTTGGGGGGGCGGCAGCCCCCGCTGCCGCCCCCCAATGATGATCGAAACAGTGATAGGGCAAAACGTAGCCGTCGCACGATGACCGAAAAAGTGCTGATTCAATTAGGCGTGCATTTTAATCGAAAGGGGGGTGGCGGGGGGCACCAGAGAGGAACTTGTGATGCCGAGGATGCAGGAAGTCAAGGCCAAAAACCAACTGGATGCGAAAAGGCAAAGCCAGAAAGCCGCCAAAAGCCACAAAGCCCAACTGGCAATGCAGAGGATGCGAAAAGACAAGGAGAGAGGAACTGTGAATGCAGAGGATGCGAAATGAAAAGCCACAAAAGCCACAAAAACCAACGTAGAAGCCACAAAAGCAAAAAAGCCACAAAAGCCAAAAAGCCGAAAAGCTACCCACCAAAAACGGAAAAAACATGTTTAAAAAAATGGCCCTCCATTAGATTACGTTATAAATGATATATGCGTATTCTTACAACTTAAAATGGTGTCCAACTCGTTTCTTTTATTTCCTTGCGTTTCTTGGAATAATCCTGCTTTCCCATTGATCGAACCGAGTGGAGATAAGTGAACAAGAGGCCCACAGCCAACCAGCAATCTCTCCAGAATGTGAGAGAGCGGACAGGAACCAAAAATAACCAAGACCCACTTCTCTTTTCCGTTGGGCCTCTTTCCCATGGACCCAACTGTCAGGCGTGTCCAAGCTTCAGAAACTGGTGAATGAACGGATAGTGAACGGAGGAACAGCTTGGACAAGAAACAGGAGTATGAACCCTTGACCACTCTCATCCCGCCACCCAGAGGTGAAGGAATGTGACCAGAGGTTCATCTTTTTCCCTTTCATGTCGGTCATTCATAGACAAATGGATGAAGGAAAATAACAAAGATTCTGCACACGAATCCCAATTGCCTGTAGCGTGTAATCTCTTTTCTTACCTAATATCACCTCATGTTGAGTTAGTATACTTTCTATCTTCAGGATGTGATACTAGTTTATGTTCAAGTCATTAATATCTTATAATAGCTTTTATGTCAGGATTCTCGCGAGAAATAGGCGGTCAATCTCTAGGAACTAACTCTCATTTTCAGCTTCTATGCCACTCACGGTTTAACTCTGGAACACAGCCCACCATCCTACTTCATTTTTCATATTGTATTGATGTGTCTCTGAAAACCCTTCATCCCTTTCTATCACATAATTCTTGCATTTGGGAACTCAAACAAGCATATGCCAAATGCCAGGATTTTCCATGAAGACACATCCAGAGGCGTAATGCTGCACAAGGTTCTAACCCTCACCCGCGTGCAGGCACCTGTCCATCCATTCCAAGCGAGACATAGTGAGCGAAGGAAGGGAAAAGATAGAGGAATGTGGTCCTCTCCGTCCCTTCACGCCTCACAAAAAAACTGAGAGGCGGGAAGGAATCTGGAGGCATATCCGTTCCAACCCTTTTGAGATAGATCTATCTAGTCGGTTGGAAATGAGACCCACCGACGGACGGAGGTGAGAGAGTGGACAGGTAGTTTACCCTCGTGTTCTCTCTGTCAATGACAGACAAGCAAACAAACGAACAAAGAAGCAAGCAAGCAAGCAAGCAAGCAAGCAAGCAAGCAAACACGCACGCACGCACGCACGCACGCAAACAGGCAAAGCAAAACAAGAGGGTAAACTCTGGGCAGATTAAAGTGGCATCCTCCAAAAATTGCCATCGATGAATTGTGAGTCGAAGAGGGGTCCTTGAAAATTGAGGTCCTGAGCGCCGCCGTTTGGGCGCATGTAAGCGGTTGGGTGCATTCCATGCGTTTCACACGCCAGAAACTTTGCCCAAACGCCTATGACGCGGTTTCAGCATCAGTTCAGCCTGGTGGAAGACTCACCCCACTTCGGAGGCGCGCCGCATAGATGCAGCCTCACGATGAGCTTGCCTGCAGAGCCCCGCAGGCAAGCAACCAAGCACATGTTAGACAGGATAGTGAGATCTTGGCCCTGTCAGTGCATGCAGAAACAGTTGACAAGCGACGGATCTTCGGCTGAAAGGAGCAACAAGTCAACGAAGAGAAATTGCCGATCCTGGCAGCGCCGCTTGCTTGGCGGCTCCTTGTCGCTGAAGTCCCAGCCTGCTGCAAGCATTGTTTTGTATTTTGTCATCAGCCAACCCAGCCTTGTACTCTGTCTTCAGCCACCTGCTGATAGCCTGCCCGAAACTCCCTCTCAAGACAGAGGTACAAGTCGGCATCTGCGAAGCTTGCAGCAGCGGCCTGGAGGAGGAGACATCAGCAAGCAGCCGGGCTGAGTGTGCGCATGCCAAAGCCCGGCACGCAACCCAAGAAGAATGATGGCGTTCGGGTGAATTGATGTCTTGCCTTTGTCTCGGCATCAAAAAAGGAAAGAGGTCACTTGGCTGTTCAAGACTGGAAAACATGCCGGACTCAGTTGCCCAGACAACAGTGGACCCGTGCTGTGCGCTCAGGTACTTGTGACACGAGCCTGTTCTGCCTGTTGGAAGGGCATTGCTCATCTCGAAAACAGCAATCACCTCTCGTAACCCCCGCGGAGTCCCCCTTTGCAAGCCCTGATCTCGACGCCAAGAGACTTGATGGCAGCCTTGTCATCCTTGCTCAAGCCGTGTAGGTGAGCTTCTGTCACCTCTGCCTAAGTTCCCTTTCCGCCCAAGAAAGCAGTACATCTTGTAGCCGGCCGCGGCAAGCCTGGCGCACGAGCTTCACTGGATACCTCTTTGACCCCATCTCACTCTGCGTGGTCTCTCAAACTCTCTGTAAGTAGTCTTGACATCGTAGTACACGCGGCCAAGTTCTCGAGTGAAGTCTTTTCCAGGCAAAAAATAATAATGAGCTGCTTGCAAAGAATTGGTCAGCGGTAGTTGCGGTCGTTTGGTGGGATATTTGTTGTGTTTTGAGATTCTCTCCCAAATCTGCCGAGAATCCAGCAGCGGCAGCCGCACAGGGCGTGAACGGCCAAAAAAGCCAGAAAAAGGATCGCTTTGCATCATCAACATGCCCCACAACAAGGGGAAGAAAAGGGAAGTAAAGGACAGAATTGGGAGGTAACAGCCCGGAACATGAACTGGAAGGAACAGAAGCAGAAAAAATGAGAAAAAGGGAGGAAAGGGAGGAAAGGGAGGAAAGGGAAAGAAGGGAGGGAAGGGAGGGAAGGGAGAAAGGGAGGAAAGGGAGGAAAGGGAGGAAAGGGAGGAAAGGGAGGAAAGGGAGGAAAGGGAGGAAAGGGAGGAAAGGGAGGAAAGGGAGGAAAGGGAGGAAAGGGAGGAAAGGGAGGAAAGAAGGGAGGAAAGGGAGGAAAGGGAGGAAAAAGAGATGTCGAGCAAAGGGAAAGGAACACGAAGCAGCGTCAGAGCGCACATGACAGAAGAAGCGAGACAACAAGAAAAGGAAGAAAACAAACACGCCAAATCACTGGCAAAGAAAAAGTAAAGGGAAGCACATGCATGAAATAAAGAAACGGAGCAAAGAACAGTCGTCAAAAGCAAAGGGCAAGGCAACAGTTCTATTTTGCATTCTAATGATAATTGCAAAAATAATTATGCTCTCACATGGCCTCGATATGCGTGCGTTTTCACAAAATTTTCAGGGGCAGCCAGGCAATAGGACATTTGTTTCTCATGAGATGCTACACCCCGCAAACAAAATAATTGTTTGATTTGTCCAGTCGGCCGTGTTGGCCCTGATTTGCCCGAGCTGCCCATCACTGCTTCCATAAACGCATTTGCTGAAACTGCATCCTGATCGATGTGAGGCTGAGGGCCCCTTAGCTGCAACCAAAGCCACTTTGCATCACTCCGGGTTGAACATATCGTCGCGGCACAGAGCACAAAGTTTCCAGAAATTCCAGCCCCTCCTGGCGCACGTGATCGTTCTCTGGAATCTCCTGCGTGAGACCATATTTCGTTGCGATGATATTGGCACATCAGGTTTGTGATTGTCTATTCCTAATAGCTTTGCCCAGTTGTGTGTATGCTTTGCTGACGCATACTGGCAGTTGTGACTGTCCTTTCTATTCACGGCTCGAGTCCTCGGAAACCTGATTTGCCTTTCGCATAAAATGAATCGCCCTTTTGAAGAAGGGGGAAGGTGTTGTATATTAGGTGTGGTTTAACGGAGGGTAGACGTTGTTCAATCAAGA